TGTCCCAGCTGCTTCAAGTGCAACAGTTAACTGTTCCCATCTGAGACTTTGTCCAGAGACCTGCCGCTGGCTAAAGAGAGCAGCCTTATCTGGAGACATGTGGGAAGTTAACCAATTCCACCATCCTGGGTGTCCAATGTTTGATCACCTTGGGATACAAATGCCTGCCCCCCTAGTCTTAACTGAAACAATTCATGGTGCTATTTATGCTCCAGCATCTCCCATTGCTCAGGCCAAGACTTGATTCCTTGCTTGACTTCTTGTCCCACTAGCCTATGTCACTTCTCTCAGTCCCTTACAGATTTGTCCTAAAGAGTGCTCTCTCTAAATAACATGTTCACCAAATCCCTGTTCCGGTCTCTGTTTCTAGAGAACTTGACCTAAGACATCATTTTTCCAGCTTTGACCTCTGGCACACCCTGACTACCACCAGCCCCTTTTAGTTTAACTCATGGCATTATCATAAGTGGCTCACGTTTGTCCTTTGGCTCCCTGAATTCAAGGCTGCATTGTGCAACTCCTTCTCCCAAACCCATCTCTAATCCTGGGAACCACAATCCCAACAGTGGTCAGACCAAGTGGCACTCGAGCTGGGCCCACCCTGATCTCCACCATGCAAGTGATCAGTCACCAACCAGGTGGCTGCAGAACTTGAGCCAATAGCTAATCTCTCTCATTCTCAGATTGTGTTTCTCTAGAACAAGGCATTGATCAAATGACCTGGTCTCTTCCAACTCAAACATTGCTTTTCTGGGACAAGAAGTAAAATGTGGATTAAGCACATTGCTTGTACAGATGAAAAGAAGAAGAGGTGATTATGATCTATCTACTTCTCAGTAACCACCATGACTTTTATCCTCCAATACCTTACAATTTGATTATCTGTGACGATGGGAGAAGAACATGTACATTAGTCATGAGAAGAGAATCAAAATCAGAAAACAGGTAAAGATGGTTTTAGTTTTTAGTTGCTGAAAAACCAAGGGATAATTATCTCACACTGGTTAAATAT